GGGGGAGCTCTGCTCAGCCACAAGCCAGGCTGATGGCTGCCAGCACAGCAGTGATGGCGGGAGCCTCTCCCGCCTCCTCAGCAGCGCTAAGGTTGTCCGATTGCAGCTTAGGCCTGCTCACCACTGGCAAGTGGACATTCCCTGAGGGCTCCTGGGCTGCCAGAGGGATGTCTGACTGCCAGCTTAGGCCTGTTTCCCTGGGGAGCGGGTCTAAGCCAGCAGGTGGACATCCCCTGAGGGGTCCCAGACTGCGAGAGGGCACAGGCCCCCTCCAGTGCACAAATTTTTGTGACCGGGCCTCTAGTTAATTATAAAGTTCAACAATAGCTAAAGTAACCTATGCTCTACACCGGTGGGAAAGCTATAAAGAAAGGCAAGTGAAGGAGCATCCAGATGTCTACATAATGGATCCTCTGTGGGTGGAGGACATTGTGATGGAAAAGGGTCTAGGAGGCTGGCAGTGATCTGTTTTGGGTAATATTATATGAGTGTTGGTTTTATTTGTTTATATTATTTCACAGTTTTCAAAAGATTAGAGAAATGCATTAAGTTACATTTTTTATTTTTATAAACCTCTGTCCAAGCCTCTATAAAGCTCTTATAATTATTGAGTGCTTATTAAAAGCTAAGCAGGATTCTAAACACTTTAACTGTATTCACTCAGTTATCACAAGAGTCATGTGAGATAGAGGCTGTTGCTATCTATCCTTTTTAACAGAGGACGAACTGAAACACTTGACCCAAACCCAGCTCCTAGAGCCCAAGCAGTTTTGTTCCTGTGCCTGATTTATGGCGATGAAGTTTACTTCAAAGATTTCCACTTCTCATTGACATGGAAGGATATAAATAGGGGGCTGTAGACATTTGGTTCTAAATGAGAAATCATTTGCTCTGAAGAAACATTTTTACTGTTTTTACCTCCTATTCCCAATTCTATGTCCAGAGTCCACACAGAACAAGGGCAGACCCTGAGCATCTGTGTCTCCAGTGCCTTCCACTGTTTCGCATGTAGAAAGAGCTCAAGGAAGCTTCGGCTGAATTCTCCTGACAGCTTTTTGTGTATTTGATGGTGGCTTTAACTGTAGTTCTGTCCTATCACTCAGTCTTGTCCATGTAACCCTGCCTTCTTCCCAATTGACTGTTATTTTGTGACAAAGTTTCCAGTCCTTTCACCCTACTCGTGCTTCAAAATTGTTGTGTTCTTTTTTTCTCATTCTTAAACATGTATTACCCAAACCCCAGTTCTTCAGTGTGGTTTGCAGACAGTTGTCAGCACTACAGAGTGGAACATCTTGAGAAAACCTAGGTCCTAGGAGAAGGCCGGGGTCTGAAGATTTGTACGTTTTCCCCCCGACTCTATTCTCAGTCCTGGACTTGCTCATCCTGTTCAGCAGTGGACAGACTGACCTTCATATTTGAGTTCTGCCTGGGAAAATTGTTTTGGTCAACATACTTCTCTTAAGAATATTTAACAAGAGTAATATATACACATACATTTTTAACAGAATTTCCCACCTGCAATTCACTTAAGATTGATTTGTGATCTATACATTTTAATTTGGGCAGTGTGAAATTCTTAGCTTATCAATTAAATACATTAAATGATTGCAAATATTCATTTAGAATAAATTTTACAGATTAGATTATGAAGTATGTTACAAGGTTCATGTGCTATCTTTGTGAATAGCATTACCTTTGATTGCTGATTTTTTTTCCTCATCTTAAAAATAACCTAATTTATTAATAAAGGTGTTTTGTTTTTTTTTTTTTCCCCACCCTCCTCTCTACTTCAGTGGACAAACAAGATTAAACAAGGAGAAAGTAATTCAAGGTTGGTATATTATTATTTTTGCTTTCTTCTTTAGTGTTAATGTGATATGGGAATTAGTCGGGTCTGGTGGGGCAGGGTGGATGGGCTCAGCCCTGTGTTATGAGCTGGGATTACAGAATTAAAGCATTATAGCCAAAGAAATATGATCAGAGCAGATGGTAACCAAGGACTCTTAAGTGAGCTGTATGTAAAGAGTGGTATTCAACGTTGTTTGTGGGTAGCTTCAAGTGGCCCAGGCAGCTGATAAAACCGTCTTAAAATATAACTGCCCGGATTTAAGATGATTTTATATTTGGAAACAAAGTTTACTGGCTGATGCTAGTGGTGTTTTTCTGCTAAGATTTCAATTTTAGTAGTAACAAAGAGGATTAAAAAAGAACTTTCTCACATTGGATTGGTTACTTTATTCTAAACAGATTGTCCCTCCCTTCTTGTGGTAATTTAGACTCAGATCTTTTAATCTCCCTAATGATCTGGCTAGTCTGGCTTTTAAAGAATATTTTGGTGGATGTTCAGCCAGATTATAAAAGCATTTTGTTTAATTTTTTTGGTTAGGGACATCTGGGGTTGGCAGAAACTGATTTTCATACCCAGTGTGCTTGACTCCCTCTGCTGGGTACTAATCTGATAGTTAAATGAACCTTTGTTTTCCAATGACTTGTGTCCACACCAGGTTATTCTTTGGACTCATGTCCCTGACTACCTTGTCCTTCATTGCATTTCACATTGACAATGGAACATGAATAAAAGCTTTCATGTTCACACTTGTTTTGTAAGGCTTCTTTTGTGTGTTTTGTTATTTTTCCTAATTTGGTAAGTTAGATGCTTAGTTCTTGAAGTTATACCCTCTCCCCCGCCCCCTTTTTTAAGCATTCCAGGCTTATATATTTGGAAGTACTATTTTGGTTGCATACCTACAGCTTTGATATGTAGCAATTTCGTAAGTATTCAGCACGAAGTATCTTAAATTTCCATTATGATTTCTTTATTGACCTATCAGTTATCTATTAAATTTCCCAATGGCTGGGCTTGCTTTGTTGTCATCTTTTATGATTCACTTCCAGTGTAATTGCATGTTCTGGCAGCATGATTTATTTGATAATACTTACTTGAAATTTGTTAATATGGTCAGTTTTTATAAATCTACCATTGCATGCTTGAGAAAAATCTATGTTTTCCAATTGTTGGGTTTGGAGTTATATATCAAATAATCAACCTTGAGGTTTTTTTGTTGTTGTTCAAATCTCCTATACTTTACTAATTTGTAAGTTTACTAATTTGCCAGTATGACCTAAATAGCAGTTTATGAATAAGACATGTTATATTTCTGACTGTGATGGCCAAGTCATCCTTTAGTACCTGAAATGGCATAATGTGTGCTTTATATGTTCTGCCTTTATATAGTTAGAGGCTATGTTATCAGGCACATGCAAATTTAAAAATTGTTATATGTTCCTAGTGAATTGGATCACCACTTATTTATAGTAACGCCCACAATCCTTACTAAGACTTTTGTCATAAAGTCCTGCATTTCTGAGAGTAGTATAGCTACTCTGTTTTGGGGTTGGAATTTGCCTGGTATGTAAATATATTTTTCAACCCTTTCCTTTAAACCTTTCTGTGTACTGATGTCTTAAGTGTTATTACCTCATAAATACTAGGTAACTGATTTTGATTCTTCCTTTAAAAAAATACAATCTGTTTTTTAATTGGCAAGAGCAGTCTATTTACTTTTATTCTGGTTGCTGATATGTGGAATGTTAATGTCAGTGGTGCATGGGCAGGCTAAACAGCCATCTCAGACGGTGAATAAAGAAACATTGAATTTATTTAAGGAAAAGGGGTTGGAGGATGGGGATATCCAAAGGGAAGAGCTACACAGCACTGAGCCAAAGGGTATTGGGTCCATGCTGACAGCAAAAATATACTTAGGACAGTAAAACAAGGAAGGGCATAGAAGAATCAACAGGAAAGCCTAGGCTGGGCTGTTTTGGTTCACTGCGAAGTCAGAGAAAAGGGGGCCTTGTAGAGGGTTCAATGGGTTAGCCAGGGACAAGCTGCCATTGCCCATTGCTCTCCTGGTTGTAAATCTCATGGCGTCCCTTAAAAGTTAGGGGATACGTGCCTGTGGGGGAAGGAGAAGCGGGTGGGAATGGCACGGGCATCCTCCTTGGAGGGAGAGCATGCACTGGATCCTTTGTCTTGATGTATTTGTCTCTCTCTTGCAGATGGAAATCTTAGGGGAGGTCTCAGGCGAGAGTCAAAAGAATATTCATCAGCTCTACCCCGTGTGCTCTTTCAGGGCAGGGGGTCATTAGTCAATGTAGGTGGTCTCAGGCAAACAAGGGGTCACTTGTCTGGTTTTGCTGCTTTTCTGGGCCTGGAGCTGAAATAGAACTGAAGCCTAGATATTATCCTTAGGAAGGAAAGGTCTGTGGGTCTAAACCACCTGACGAGTGATACGCTAGGGGAGGATAGTTATCCTGAGGGCGAGGTTTGTGTTTTCCTTGTCCAACCCTTTCTCACCTTCCCTACTGGCTTTGAAATGATAAGCCATTTCTATTCTTTTAATGGCTAAAAGTGTTCTTTAAATTTTTACCATTCATGCTTAATAAAATATAAGATTAATGTTCACTCTCTTGAAAAATACAAAGCCCTTATGTTACTTTTGTTTAGTAATTTAGTCCTGTCCTTTTTAACTACAGGCCGTAGCTATTATTGTTCAATTTGTTATTTAGACAGTGTTTGTTTAGATTTACATGTATATTTACCAGTTCCTGTTATCATTTCTTTTATATCCCAGACCTTCACTCCTAAGTATCTTCTTCGAAAGCGCCCCAGTGCAGACTGGTTAATGGTAAAGATAGTTTCAGTTGTTTCTCTTCTAGACAGTTCTGGGTTTAGTCTATGTAATTGCTTTTAGTCTATCAGTGGTTGGCAAGCTCATTAGTCAACAGAGCCAAGTATCAACAGTACAACGATTGAAATTTATTTTGAGAGCCAAATTTTTTAAACTTAAACTATATAGGCAGGTACATTGTTATTAACTTAATTAGGGTACTCCTAAGGCTTAGGAAGATCCACACTCAAGGGGCCAAAGAGCCGCATGTGGCTCGCGAGCCGCAGTTTGCTGACTATGGGTCTAGGTAATTTTAGAATGACAGTTCTCTTAGCACCTGGGAGATATTATTCTGTTGCTTTTTGGCTTTTATTGTTTCTCTTCAGAAGTCTTCTCTCAGCCAAATGGTGTTCCATGGTAGGTAATTTGTCTTTCTCTGAAACTACTTTAAAAATCTTCTTTGATTTTGGTATTCTAGTTTATCTTAATATACTAGAAGGCCCGTGCACAAAAATTTGTGCACTGGCAGGGAAGGAGGGTCCCTCAGCCCAACCTGTGCCCTCTCACGGATCACGCTGCCGCTCGCCCTGCCCACCCTGCCCGCCCCGCCCACCCCGCCCAAGACACCGCAGGCCCGGATCCCGCGCTGGGGTGAGCAGCAGCTCAGATCTGCTGCCGCCGGCCCCGCCCAAGACACGGCGGGCTGGGATCTCAGCTTTGGCGGCACAGCGGGATCTGCCTGCAGTATGCAAATTAGCTGCCATCTTTGTTGGTGGTTAATTTGCATATCTCGCTGATTAGCCAATGGGAGGTGTAGCGGAGGTACAGTTAATTTCAATCTTTGTCTATTATTAGATAGGATAGGATTTAAAAATGTTTTTTCTGCTTGATTACATTGTATTTAATTTATCTGTGGGTTTCTTGAAAATTCTCAACTATCATTTTTCCTATATAATAAAAGCCTAATATGTTCAGTGTCCGGTTGGCTGTTCAACCAATCAAAACGTAATATGCTAATGATATGCTAAGGCAGTTCAACCGCTCGCTATGACATGCACTGACCACCAGGGGGCAGTCGACCAGTTGCTATGACATTTACTGACCACCAGGAGCGGGGGAAATGCTCTGACTGGTAGGTTAGCTTGCTGCTGGGGTCCGGCAGATCTGAACTGAGCGAGATGGGCTGGACATGCCCTGGAGCCCTCCCGCAGTCCCTCCCCGGCTGGCCAACAACCTATGTCCCTCCCCGGCCCCGATCATGCACTGGTGGGGTCCCTTGGCCTGGCTTGCACCCTCTCGCAATCCGGGATCCCTCAGGGGATGTCGGAGAGCCAGGCCAGGCTGAGGGATCCCACTGGTGCACGAATTTGTGCACCGGGCCTCTAGTCTCTTCATAGTTAGGAATTTTCATTTTTTCTGTCAAGCCTCTAATAGATCAGAGATGCGTTCCATCTGTATCCAGCCTGTATTCTGGGTATGAATTCAGGCCTGTCTTGGAGTTTATTAAGTCACTTTGCAACTGGATCTCCCTTTATCCATTGAGGAAATTTTTTTCACCTTCAGGAATTTTATTTTTCATTATTAAAAGATCTATTTGGTTCTTTTAGAAGGCTATCTGATAGTTTTTTGTTTTTTTGTTTGTTTTTGGTGATCACATTTATTGGAAGAGTTGGAGAAAAATAAAAATGCCATTTAGCTTAAGAATTTGTGAGTTATGTGCAAATAAACTCATTTCAGGAGCAGAAGAATCCTTGGTCATTTCTTTATATCAAAATTTACGCAGGTTTCTCTTTTGAATATCTTCTACCTTTAAAGATGCAATCATATAAAGTCTCCTAATTTCCACACAGGATATATTCTTTGTTTCAACCAACTCTCAATGGAGGGGCAGCCTGCACAACACCATCTCCCTGGATAAAAAGCATTGGAATATTCCGTTTTGTTGATTTATATATCTCTTTATATGTTTCTTCATCAATTTCTGTAGTAGTCACAGTTTCTTCCACATCTCCCAATATCATATTTAAATGTTGATCATCAGCATGTAATCTACCTTGAAGCTCTCTGTCATTTCTCAATTTCATATAAATTCGCTCATCCAGGCTGAGCCTGATAAGATCCAGGGGCTCTTCTACAGTGTTGGTAGTTTGTTGCTGCTCCACATCATCCACCATGTTTCAAACCTTATCTGGTAGTTTTTTATGAGTTTGTGTTTGCTCATTTTTGTCATTCTGCCTTAATCTTATTTTATAGTCTGTATTTTCTGATTTCAATGTTAGAAGTGTTACTGGTTCTAAATCTGTTATGATTTTTATGACTTTCATTCATGATGGATTAATTTCTTGTGTGATTAAGTCTTTGACTAAACTATTATTTGCTCTAAATTAATAGAAAACTTGTTAGCCTTTATTGAGAACTAGAGGCCCAGTGCACAAAATTTGTGTGTGTGTGGGGGGAGTGGCACGGTCCCTCAGCCCAGCCTGCACCCTCTCCAATCTGGGACATCCCTCCTACAATCCAGGACTGCTGGCTCCTAACTGCTC